CTTCCCTAAGATACAATAAATAAATAAATAAATAAAATAAATAAATAAATAAATAAAATTTAGCTGAAGTATTACTGATAGGATAGCCCTTTTTCTTTTTTACTGTGGGTAGAAAATACAAAATACTTTAATTTCTTGGTATATGAAGTATTAGACTACCATCACTATGTTTTTAAGGGCTGAAATCTCATATGATTCAGGGTTACAGTCTGAAGCTTATCAGTTACTTTCTAATGTGTCACTTTTATTCTTCAAAGAAATTCTTTTTTTCTTTGTCTTCCATTTTCTTGCTTTTTAATTTTTATTTCTTTTTGGAGACAGGGTCTCACTGTGTAGTTGAATTCATTCACTATGTAGCCCAGTCTGGCCCCAAACTCACAGTGATCCTCCTGTCTCTGCCTCTCAAGTGCTGGGATTACAGGTGTGCACCACCACGCCTGACTATTGTCTTCTGTTTTCTTGTGAAAAAGTATTAGAAAGCCATGGGCAACATATTTCTTGCTTGAAAGCCATTTGTTACATTAACTTCTCTTAAAAATGGTTTAGGTGCGATGGTACTCAACTTTATATTTTTCTTTACAGCACCTGAAAGATAAATTTTGGAATTTTATTTTCTACAAGTTCATTTTCATTTTTGGTGTGCTGAATGTCCAGACCGTGGAAGAGGTGGTTATGTGGTGTCTGTGGTTTGCTGGACTTGTTTTTCTGCATCTGATGGTTCAGCTCTGCAAGGACCGGTTTGAATATGTGAGTTTTTGCCAGGCTCTGCTTACACAGTCACAGGTTTGCCAGATTTGATTTGTGTAATATATATGAGCCATACGTAGACTAGAGGGAAAGACTCTTGGGTCAGCTGCTTTCTTGAAGAACATCTGCAGCAGAATCCATGTTTCCCACAGCATTTGTGTCCTCCCTGCCTCTGTCGTATTTAGTATGTTGAGTTAGAGCCCACTTGTATTCATTTCACTTAAACAAACTGTTCTAGTCACAGTGCAAGGAAATCTTGATATAAATACTAAAAAAATCTGATCTCTTGTGGATATTTTCTGTTCTAGTCTCATTCCCTTTTTTTCTCCTTCCTATCCCAATTCTTTTCTTACTTATTAGGTTATGTTGTTTCCCCATAGGCTGGGACTGAGTTAGCTCTCTCAGCTTCCCTGAGCTCAGGAAAAGTGAATCCTTTCTTGTCTGGGTACAAGATCTGCCTCTGACTTCAGGTCAAAGCCCTATGGATGGGCCCTCCCTCATTAATGCTCCCGCACCAGTCTTGTAGGACCCAGGTAAACGTGCACATGCAGTTCTGTTTCTCAACCCCATTTTGGGGCCTCTGTGCCTCTGTCCTTTACCCACTCCCCATGTACCAGGGAATCTTCGCACTTCTTGGTGGTTAATCACATTCTCAAAGCCTTGTTTCTTTCTAATTTAACTCCTCCTTTCTCAAATAGGAGCTTCTACCTTCCCAAACTGGTTTGTAATCTATACCTACTACTTTAGGAGTTACAGCTCTAGGCCTCCTTTTTAGACTGCTGCCTTTCCTTGCATAATATTAACATAACATTATTGTAGTGGTACATATGCACTTGAGTACATTTCAGTTGTCCTAGCCCTAATAGATGAGGCAGGTCCTCCAGGTGACTGCTGAAGAAGAAAATTAGAGTAAGACTGAGCAAGAAGCATACCAGAACATGACACTGCTAGATCCTGCTGAATGTTAGAAGAGAGGATTGTGTATGCTTGGCAAATTGCTGCTAGAGGTTTATAGTCCCCCATGCTAGGAGAATCCTTGAGAATATGAGACAAAAATAGGGTACAAATCATTATATTTGGTAAATTAAATGATAAAGATAAATAGCTCATGTAAATATTTATTCATGTTCATATTTAATTCATACTGGAGATTTTTTTTATTTTAAAGAGAAAACAACAAAGACAAAAAAAAGCAACATAAAATAAAATAGTATGGTATTTCAAAACATAAATAGAAAATTAATAATTGTTGTTATACACTATACATTTATATCATCAAATTTATTGCTCAGATTACCAGATATAGGGATATGAGACTAATCAAACAGTTAAACATCAACTCTTCCTTTCAGTAAGACATTAGAAACAGTACACATTAAAAAAAAGTGAAAGAAAAAAAGTGAAAGGATAGATATATAGCTACTTTCTCTTAGTTCACTGAGAATGTTTGTACTAACAGTGTTTAGACAAGATATCATGTCTGCATCCTGTCCTCTGAATAACTAATATGAAGACAACAATATGCAATGTATTAATTATCGTAAATGTCCTGACCTGTTTTGAAACTATTTTGTTGCTATTTTATCTGTTTTTGTCATTAAAATGAATACAAATTATAAAAAAAATTTGTTGGATGTGTCCAGTATTTGTGTTCAGTAGAACACATACAAGTGGAAGTGTCCATGTTTATTTTTGCATTTATTATACTGCTTAATCTTAATATGCTATATAAATATTATGTTTTTTTTTCTTTTTTGTGGAACCAGGGATTGAACTCAGGCTCTTGTGCTTGCCAGGGAAGCACTTATTCTACTGAGCCATCTCCCTGACTCTTATATAAATATTATGAGTAGTTATATTCAAATACACTGAAATGAATTTTTAGTATTGAAAAGTTGTAGCTCTTGGAAATAGTGTCTTCTCTACAAAGATGTATTACTTATTATTTGTATAATATATTAAATTAAAATAATTTAGACACGTGTCTTTTTAGTATTGTTTAGTTTTGACAGATTTTCTTTAATCTTTGTTTTTTCACTTAATCATCACAGCACCTGTTTTATAACAAAATTTTTTAGTTTATATAGTGAAATTATGTTTTGGATTAAAAAAAAGAAGCATGAAACGTATTCAGTAGTGATTGTTATATTGCACATTGCTGTCTTCCATGTAGTTCTTCAGGTTACAGCTCTTATCATATAATATTGGTTGAAGTGAAAATTTTAAACATTAACTGCTACCTTCAAAAGATTGGTAGAAACTAGTAGCCCAGTCATATTAGCTTTCCTGTGTATATACTTTGGTCATAGGTAGCATGATGCTTTTCTTTTTTTTTTTTTAATTTAATTTAATTTAATTTTTTTTTCTTTTCAAAGTTTTATTGATAAACATATAGCAATGAGACAGGGTTTCAAATCAAATCGAAAGTAGTTTCAAGAAATAATACACTGCATATATTCTTCTTAGTGGTTAATTGCTGTACAAGATGCAGACTTGTGATCCTACTTACAAACACCATAGCATGATGCTTTTCTGAGGTTGGGACAGCCCCCTTTACACAGGGATGCTAAGCCTGACCTTGAGCTTCTTAGGTAGTTTACCATGGCCATGAAGAAGAATAAATTGCCTTTGTTTTGTCCTTTTCAGCTTTCTTTTTCCCCTACCACACCAGTGAGCAGCCATGGCCGAGTCCTGTCTCTGTTGATTGCTATGCTACTTTCCTGCTGTGGGTTGGCGGTTGTTTGCTGTGTCACTGGCTACACCCATGGAATGCACACCTTGGCTTTCATGGCTGCAGAGGTAGGATGCTGGATACAGGCTTGGTGGGATTATATTACTGTATAGAGATAGATTATTTTCAACCATGAAATGATGTATGGATGTGTGGTCATTGATTTTGTCTTTTATTTTTTGGTGCCAGAGTTTTTTTAAATTTATTAATTTTATTGAGAAACAGCAATGAGACAGTTTCAAAACCTATTAATAGGACAGTTTCAATAATTAATACATTGCATATTGTTATCTTCTTAGTGGTTATGCAAGAAATTGAACTCAGGACCTTCTGCTTGCCAGGCAGGCACTGTACCACTGAGCTTATCCCTAGCTGGTCATTGATATTAGCAATGAGTTTCTTTTTATTGAGTTTCTTTTTTTTT